GAGTAGCCAGTTAATCTTGGACAATATATAAATTTCAAATATTGAACATAAATTATAAGTGGGAATTTAAAATATCAAAAATGAATTATATTTTGCGAGACAACTGAATAGGAATATGCAAATACATTTGTGAAAAATAAAGTACACTTATTGGAATTAATTAATTGATATTGAAAATTATTGTTTGAAGTTCGAATTTTTAAACTAAACGTTCAATAGTAAATTAATCATTAATTATATTGGGATAAATGTATCTAAAACCAAATTAAATCACATATTTTTAATTATAATACTTTACAATCAAGTTGTATTACAAAATGAATCCATTATTTCTTAATTAAATGGATAATATGAAAAACAATTCATATGTAAAATCAAAACTAATTCAAATTTCATAATTTGAGTCAGTTGAAAACTTTAAATATTAGCATAGCAATTCATTTTTATTAACTTATCCATATTCTACTTATCAATGTTAATACATATTGATTATTGTATATATTTATCAAGATAACCATCTAGTATCACTTTATTCAGTAGATTTATTTTGATTGACTTGAGTTTTGTAAAGATTGAAATTTTAGTGACTTCAGATTCATATGTAACGTCAAATTTTTGCATCAAATATGCTAGTTTAGATGTATTTAGAGCCATTCATAAATATGGATCTTAGTGATTCTTTTTCCACTCTATGTTTTTCAGCTAAGAGTTTGTTCACTTTTGTGAATCTTGTATCTTGATAAGATATTATATGTTATACTAGTGGCCCACAAGAAATTAGCCGCAAAGGTTTTGATATTTTTTCGAATAAAGTACTTTGCGAAATTCTTAGTAAGAACATATATAAATGTTGAATCTAAAATATAATTATGAAATTTTGTAAAAATGATATTGATTGACTATAAAATAGTAACTTATTCTACTTGAATTTATTGGGACTTTTCAACAACTTTCTAAGCATTTCGAGATAAATGTCATACAATACCATCATAAATTGTCATTTTTCTTATTACAAACGATTTGTCTACGTTGCTCATAGTTGATATTGGTTGCATACTCCATAGTTCAAACGACGAACTTGCTAAGAAAAACCTAAATAACATTGATAAACATGATTTACCTCGATGAAAACTCATAGCTCGATAAAATCGAGTGTGCAACAAAGCACAGTTTAATGTGCTCACACGCTTTCAAATCAATGAACACACCTACTAACTATATAAACTTCTTCGAAGTCAAACATGATATTCACATCAAGAAAGTCAGTAAAACTTCAGTGTCGTTACAAATTGGTTTAAAATTTAAAAATTGAGATTAAACAATGAAAAAACAAGATAAAAAATATCCGACGTATTTTTTCAGAATAAATAACTTTTTACTAGCATTTTAAAAATAATAGATATAGAAATAAAGAAGATTTCTAGATTTTCGTATCTAACACGTAATCACATATTTTTCTAAAATTATTTGACTAACGCGCATTGAATATCGATACAGAACTGTACCGAACCTGTCTTTATGAATTCCTTATAATAAAAATAAGATATGACTAAATGATTATCATTGTGACTTTTTAAAGTTCTTTTTGTTAAAACTAGAAAAAAATATCTTTCATCAAATGTACTCAATTTTTTCTCATTCACTCTCTGCAATTCAATATCAAACAATTTTCTTCTTCATTTACTCAAAGCCGATATTCCATCGATTAGATGCATTAAGTACACACATATTTGACACAACGATGCTTACCTTAGGGCATTAGTACACTGATTTTTCTGGTAAATTTGGTTCTAGAAATAGTCAGCTTTAATATTCAATCAAGTATGTCGTGTGAATCGTACTGTATAATAATAGAAAATTTATGGAAAATTGGAAAAAGTTCAGTGTCATATTTAAAAAATTTAGAAGTTATAACCTGACACGTAAAAGATTTTTCAATTCAAGAATTCAAATATTAGTGTAGATTTGACTTTTTCGCTTGAGGACATGACACAAATTAGCTTCTAAAGAGACTAAAAAAAATGCTATCCTATAACCTACGTAAATTGAAATAAGTAAGAACAATGAAATCTTGCAATAAAAACGAAAATATTATTCAATGCATTGGAATAGTATAAAAACTTTTGATAACAATTTGAAGAATTAATTAATTTTTCTTCTTCACATTTCTGTATATTTGACTTCCTTTTGACGAGTATATATTAGCTATGAATTCTCTTCGGTTTTGACACCACGCCTCAAAGTGTCTATACACAGTTTTTATGTCATAGTATTGATCAAGACCTCAGAGTTAGGGAATTCTCTTGTTAGTAGCAATCATTTACATTAAAGCTGTTGCTTTTGTCATACAATAATTTCGACAAAAACCTATTTTTTTGTATGATGTCAACGTTTTGTTATGAAATTCGTTTGTAAATTCAATAAAACAACAAAAATTATTAAATCATTCATCACGAGATCATCAGAAAAATCTCAAAGAATTCAAACAAAATTATGTTTATTTGATTCTAAGACAATTCTTTCCTTTAATAACGACATAATGATGTTGAAAAATAATCATCACATGTTTAGTTTTAGGGATTGAATTTAGCATAGGAAACATTTTGTAGTATTCTACAAAACTTTTCCGTGTTTGCAACAAAAGTCATTTGCTAAAATATTACTAACAAGTATTAATCTAGTAATTCGTCCGATCAAGAATTTTCTTATTCTATTTTCTTGACAACTTATTGAAAGTGTTAGATATATCGTTATATTGTATTTTTGAACTAAAAATCAAATGTTTCAATCTATAATGTCACTGACTATTGACAATTTTGAAAAACTATATTTTTGTTTAAAAGAAGAAAATATTCTGTTCATTAGTTTGGGATAATTTTCATTTGCTTGAGTTTATCAAAGCATTCGATGTAAGATTCAGCCGTGCCGGTCACTATCGTCCATCCACATTTACGTGCTTTGCTGAGATCCCCTTCAGCGTTGAATGATATATTGACGATGACGTCTAATATAAGACATAAATATATGAATTGGTCTTGTAGTTTAGACAACTTAAAAAAAATAAAGAAATAAGTCATCGTACAACTAAAATTTTATTGTCTCAACCAACAATTTGCAAGAAAATGACTCAAAAAATTCAATCAGGTTTACCAGTGAATGAACATTCGTATTTATAAATTTCAAAGATCTCTAGGAAAACACATGGACTTGACATTAAATCAGCAAATACGAAAATTTTGAAGATTTGTTATTTTGTTTAAACTTCCATAAAAGTGTCTGAATTCATATGTCTAGATTTTTCAACTTACGCATAAACATCCAAGATGTGTACTCGAAAGCGGCTTCGTTAATATTGTAACGTTTTGCAATTTGATGCCATAATTCTTTATGTTTAGGCATGTATTCAGGTAGAATCAATTTTGATGCTGTTTTGTCTTCAGGAAATTTTTGTTCATAATGAGGAAAACCAAAATATCTAAAGTTATATAAGGACAAAAGTAAAAATATATCGTAATGATATGTCAACAATTTTACTCTTCTATTTTTGGCCATATTGCTCGAAATTGAGCCTTGTCACCATTATGTACAGGGTTGGAAATAATATTATTCCAGGGGGGTAACGCTACAATTCTGAATACCAACCCTAATGAATTTTATACCAAATGAAAGCCCGTAAAAAATGGGGTTTCCTGATGCCAAATTGTAAGGGTTCTGACATATTTTTTTCTAACAAACTTTCAAAAGTTTCGAAATTTCGTAGAACACACCCGTTATAATTTACTTTCGAAGNAATCAAACTCCTAACAAGTTTTATCTAGTTAGATTTTATCTCTGTTCCGTACTAGAATAATATGTACAAATGGTGTAAAAAAAGGAGATATGTGTGATTATTAGAACCCATCGGATTCGCGTCTAGATCTGAAAAATATGCTAATTATATCTTAGTCGAAAGAAAAACTTCGATGCTTTAGGAACAATATTTTATGAAATTCTTTAAATTTCTGTTCAAAAATGCCTGTTTCTTTATGTATTATTCGTTATATAAAAGTACCCAGAAAAATCTATTTACCCATACGATTGATTCCCATACTTCAACTATTGAATTCTTCTCACTCAATTCTTACACAAAAACCTAAATTTGATCTTTAATATAACATCTAAGAGAGAATGTTTCATTCAAATAAGAAAATTTTGTTTTCCATAGACCGAATACTCATTTTTGTTGCTTTATGTTGTCAATTAGAAATGATGAATTCTTCTGTGTCAATATCAGAAAGGGATTTCATGAAAGTATTTTCATAAATAAATCAGCAATACTAATTAATTATTTTGATAAGAAAATCCTAGTGGACTCTTCCCAACGAAATCCTCGGGGGTTCCACACAAAAACTCCACCAGAGAATCACGACAAGGATTCACCAGGGATTGTTAAGGGAGTAGGTTCTCAATAAAAAATACAGTACATCAAACTTATAGGTGATATTATCACTAAGAGATCCACCTACCTATCTGTCATACATCATATGCTACTCTTGGAAGGAAAATTTCAGTGATAATATCACGGATATATGTCATGAACTCAATTTTTCTGCACTTTGTGAAAAAAATACTACAGAAAATAACTCCCTGGTGAACTATTATCCTTTAGGATTCACAAGGGTGTTCGTATTTTTCAAGGAACTCACCGGTGATTTCGCGGATGAGAGTCGACTAGGGCATGAATACTTACTCTCTATGATTTTTAAATATCATTAGAAATCTGAATTCTTTTAGGATTTTTATTAGAACAATTTTTTATATTCATAGACAAAAAACAATAAATTTTTAACTTTTCTTAAAGTATCGTGAATGATTAAATCAACTGAAATCTAACATATAATTGAATTTTCAAGATTTTCATTATGAATTGTAATCAATAACATTTCAAATAGTTTTATAAGTAAGATAAAATTAAAAATATATTTTTTTTATTAAATATATAATATGATTAAGAAAAGAAATTATACAGAAAAAATAGAACGATGAAATCTAAAGGGTCCTTTCCATTTTATAAGAAATTTACGTATAGCATCAGCAATGAATTGATGTACACGAGTAGTAAAATGAAATTGATCAATAAAAAGATAAGTATCAGGAGTCGAACATAATAGAATAACAGTATAATGTAATGTATCCCAACATTTATTCGTACTATTTATTCCATATGCTTTGATATTCATAAGAATATTTGAANTACATTGAATCAAATATTTGGATGTCTAATATGTATGGTTATAAACAAGACGCGAAATAATATATACTTTTATTAATTTTTGTTACTTACAATTTTCGAACTTTTCCAAATCTTTTATGATATTCAAATCGTATATGGCTTTTCGAGACTTCCTGTAAAAAAACCAAAATACTGTGAGATTAGCTTAAACTATTAATCTCTTACTGATAAATTAGGATTATTTTTTTATCCTTATATATGTTATAATTCAGGTTTTTGATATTTTCAACGTCTTTAACAACATCTATAATACAAAATAATATAATAATTGATTAAAAAAAATTTTTATTAAATTAATTTCATTATATAATAATTAAGAAACAATATGTTTTACCTTCATATTTTTCTTTTTTGTACAGTAATTCAATACGTTCAATATATGATACAAGAAGAACATTTTTTATCATTTTATCTTCGTGATTAACAGGTGATAATTTGTTTATTATATCGTCCAATATCTAGAAATCATTTATAAATATCTTTGATTTTCTTCGTTTTCAAGAGTTCATGACACTTACTTTAACTGCTTCATCTTCATTGCCATCGTATAAATTCATTTTAACACAACCTGTCAAATAAATTACTTCCTTTTTTAACTCCTCCGACATTTCCAAATTATATTGAAAGATGTTAATATTAAAAAAATAAAATTCACAATAATGATGAGTTTTATTTACGATTATGATGAGTTAACTTCACAATAATGATGGGTTAAATTCACTACAATGAGAGTTAAATTCACAATAATAATGAGTTAAATTCACTACGATGAGAGTTAAATTCACAATAATGATGAGCTAAATTTACGAAAATGATGAAAGTTAAATTCGAAATAATGATGAGAGTTAAATACACGATAATGATGAGTTTGTTTTCTAAAAAATAAATTAATATCTTAAAATTAAATAAGCAGCATACAAAACATTGTATTTATATTATAGTTGACTACAAAGAACATAAACGAATAAATGACGAAGAGTTTAAATGAATGAACAAGACAGACGAATTATAACAAATAATGGAAAACACAAAAATATAAAGATGTCGTTTTTTACAACATAAAATTTAGCATATAAGAGATTCAAATAAATATATTTAAATATAGTGAGCGTAAAAATTTTCAAAACCACTTTTTTGTTTTGGTTGACATTTCAGGAATACAGAACGCAGATTTTAACTTCTTTTTACATTCGGATAGCGGAGCTCGAGTACCATATGTCTGCATATTTCTGAAATGAATAACTCTTGAATCGAAAGCATATGAAAAAATAAACAAACTTCAACACTACAATAAAAGCTGTTCAAGAAGAAACAAGCTGATATGGTCATTAGAAGTTTGAATACGATTCTAGTAATGTAGACAATCAAATAATTTTTTTGTTTGATATTTTTATATGAATCGATAGATCTCAATGAGCTCTACAAGACTATCTATATTAATATTGTTTGGAATTCTCTTCTGAAGCAAAAAAGGTTACAAAATAATCGCATGCTTTGTTTGTTTTATATGAAAAGTCAAGAATCTTTTTTACACCACAAAAGGATAAAAATCACAATTTTATGGGAAATTGTAATCCCAGAAAATGATTCTAAAAAGTTTTAATACAGACAGTGTTGTAGGGCTCGACTAAATACATCTATTGATATAAAAATATCAAACAAATTCTTATGAGAGTTCCGACAGGAGTAGCTGACGCACAAATTCACGCACACATCACATTGCTGCTGCTGTGGATGTCACGAAAGGACTGATTGCGAAAGGAGTTACCATAATAGGACAGATATTACATAGGAGTTGGTGTGGGTGTCGTGAATATAGATGTAAAACTTGAAATTTAGTTTCAAGTGAGCTTTCTCGTTTCTACCTTCAAGTATCAAATTTGAAATATCATCCACAAACTGACATATCCCACATGTGTCTTGATGTGGGTGTCGCGAAGAAACTCATATAGTGTCTCTGCCAACGTAATGCGTGTGAAGCCTAAAAATTGAATTCAACTATTCAGTAATCTCAGGAATAGTCACTCAATGGTAAGAACTTTTCCGGCCAGAAGGACCTTTTATATGAGAGACGCGATGCATATGATGTCTTCGAAAAGTTTGTGCGGAAACTCAATTAAACATCGATGGAAAAGATATGGTAGATGTTGGAGATGCAGAATATATAAGTGATATAGAGATATTGAAGATATAAACGAGATAGAAGATATACGATACATTGATTAACTAGTTCCAATAGTCTTTATATAGTGTTTGACTTTGAATACTGATCCATGAAGATATATTGATTCAACTTTTCAGCGATTACTCGAAAAAATCAATCATAAAATAGAAATAACTGTTTACTATCCTCCTACATCTCTATATCTTCAATATCTCGAATATCTCCTCCATCAATGTTTAATTAAGTTTCCGCAGAAGCTTCCCAAAGACATCTAATCCAGTTGCTAGGATCTATGAAGAGGCAGAGTGACTCACAAAAACGTCGATTTAAACTTTCACTGACTATTATTTTCTTCGAAAAAATAACTCTATTTCATAAAACATTCTGTAAGAGGACAGTTAATCGAAATGAACTGCCGTTTTACACTAGAAAATAACAAATGTTATTGCGTAAATATTGATCGTTTTTTTCTAGTGTCATTTTCATTGACGAATCTATGATAAACAAAAAAAATCATATGTTCGGTAGAAGAGAAAATTTCCAATCAACTAATAGAAAAATATTTTAACCGAAAAGGACTAAATAATAACGAGACTGATATATCGATTTATACGAATTGTTTCAACTCCTCTAAATAGAACCATTTTAATAACAATCTCAATCTCACGTTTTCTATTTATTATCTACTTTTATTAAACAAACACTCTTACATGAGAAAAACTATCGGGGCTACGCTGACAAGCTTTTTTTTTAAATCCACTTGTTGTAGATATAGCTTCACTTATAATATGCTCTTTAAATACTTATTTTTATTAGGAAGACGACAAATTAACAGGAAAATAAGTAACTATTAGAAAACATATTAGCATAATCAAAAATTATTTAATTATATTACCGGTGAAGTAGATACTCGTTTTTTGTGTTCCGTTTTCTATACTGTTTTGGTGTTCTAAGCGTTTTTATTTCTATTTTTGTCTTTTTTTCTTCATTCAATATTAATCAAATGTTTTCATTTTACATATGCATGCATTTCAATAATATTTGTTTTTTCGTATGACGGATGGTAACAGTCAGAAGTGTAGATCAATTCACAGATTCAACACTATTTGAATATACCATGCGCTCTACCATGACTGAATAGCGTTTTTTCATCTTATCTCTGAAAAATCTCAACATATGTAAGTCTGATAAGGTCGATATTCTGACAACATATAAAGGTCCTGGTGTACTTCTATAAAGTTTCACACTTTTAGTATATACTCTAATATTTTGTCGCACGATTTTAATGTTTTGTAACTTTATGTTGCTACATAGCGCGGGATCATCTAGTACTTTTCTCTTAATGTTGAGAATTGCTGTACTTACTGACTCTTTTCTCTGATCCTACCAGCTTTAGCTGTCTCCGAAGCTTTTCGCTCTTATTCTGACACATTAACGCGTCATATAATGTCTCTTGTCTTGGCATGATAAGTTCTTCATCTGGTTCGAAGTCTTTTTTCACATTCTGAAATATCGATCTATAGCTGGAGGCAGTTTTGCTCACTCAGACGCACGAATATGTGTGACGGCAGTATTTACCATTATTGTAGTAGGTTACTATATGGGTTGCAGGGAAATGAAGTAAGGATGTAAAATACAATATCATAGAATTTGAGGTGCATAAGGAGATGAAACAAATATAAAATAGATCCAGAAAGATAAGTCAACTAAAAACTCGCTTGTCGAACATTATCCAGTTGGTTTACTAAAAGAAAAGATTCAAAAAATTTGATTCTATTGGTGGTAGTAGGTAGGATGTGAGTATGGATCTAGTAAGAAAGATACATTCACACACCCACACTCTTAGGAGTAAGTTTGTTTTTCATTAAATTCTTCAATATAAAAAAAATAAAATAAAATGTTGTTTAGCTTCAAAACACAATGCATTAGCCTTATAATACAAATGAAAATGTTGAAATAATACGTGAAATTAATACAAGATTAGTAAGATGGTCTAATGGAAGGTAATTTTATTAAATAATTATAAAAGAAAAAAAAAAAGAAATTCTTTATATTTTAGTTTATCTTTACATGTTGGAAACAACATATTTGATACATCAAAAGCAACTATTCAAAAGTGATCATAATCATTTATTTATTCATCATCAAAAAAAGTATGCAAGCTCAAGCTATTTTTCGTACAAAACTTTCATTCAGGTTTTTATTTAAGTTAAAGTTTTTCTTTAAAGATCAACATTCAAATGATTCATTAGTACATTTTAAACTTAAACTTGTAAGTAAAGCTAATTCAGCACCAAAAGTTCGTGTATTATCAAATATAAAAGCACTTAATATTAATAGTATTGTTGTGATAAATGTTTGTTTTCTTTTTGTTTTTAAATTTAGTTTTAATTCATAATTTCTATAGAAAGAAGAACAACGAATGAAAGCTGAAGAACGTCGATTTAATCAACAATTACGACAATGTGAAAGAGCTGCTTATAGAGATCTAAAACTGTCAACTAGTTACCTTGAAGATAATGAACAAGAATCATTAAATATAATTAAACAAAATGTTAAGAAAAAGAGAAATTAAAAGATTAATTTATTTTTTTTAATAAGCAAAAATAAATCTTTTAGATTCAGGTGAATATCGAGCTGAAGGAACAAGTGAAGATGATGATGATAATAATCCATAGGAAAAATTAAATTGTTCACAAACATCAACTTCAATAAAACATCGAAAAATTGCTTTATCAAATGAAGATGATTCAAATAATGAACAACAAAATAAAAGAAAACGTGTTCAATTTGTTGGAGATAATGATGAAGAAGAACATTAGTTAGATTAATTATTAACAATTTTTTCTATTTTCTTCATATTTAGATCTGATTGAAAATTAAATTCTATTCTTCTGTTTTATAATGACAAAAAAAACACAAAGAAAATATCAAGAGATAAAAATTTGTACAATTCTAACATTATATATTATTAAATAAATTAACTCAATTTCTCAATATTTTTTTAAAATATATTCTAATATTAAAAAACAAGAGTATAAATTTAAAAATAAAAAACTAATCATCTAATTATATTTGTAATTTTTATTGTTGAAAATAGGAGTTAAAGACGCCTCTAACTAATTGTACATTATTAGTTTATCTTAAAAAAATAAGAAAAATCCACTACGAGTTTCATATAAAATGTTTATAACTTCTATAAACAGATAAACTTAAAAGTCTACGCCTGGTATGATTTTTAAAAATCTTCATATAGTTATTCAAATGCATATCTAATTATTGAAAATTGATCATAATCATCTTACGGAATATTTGTATTTTCAAAAATATCGATTTAAATTCTTGATAAAACTAAATCAAATTATACTGTAATATACAATTCGATATGTCTTCATCTATTCTTTTTAACAGTCAAAATCACAGCTCTATACAGTATTTCTATTAAAATTTATTTTAAAAAAATATTCAGCCACTTTTTATTTTGAAATGAACAGTAAGTGCAAACAGTTTTCGGTTCATTGCTATAACTATTCTTTTTTTTTCTAAATTGATATTCGAAACAAACTCAAAAGAAGTAACAATAGTATTTTTGCTTAAGAAAAATCTTCTGAGAGCAGCTCTTTTGAAGCTGAAATGTGAAACTCATGTATATCGTTTAAACTTGTTATCCTAATGCATCATTTGTAAATCGAAAAATAATGTTTGTTTTTTTTTCAAATAATTATAAAATTATTAAAATATTTTTATAAAATTTCAAACCTTTTGTATATGATTGTTAAGCTCTATAATGGAGAAGAAGGAAGTCTAAAAATCTTGATCTTAAAATTTACAATTATTAGTTTCTTCGAAAATTTATTTGAGTTATACAAATATGTCCTCTACGCATCTCATCAGACGAGAATCCTTTGCATACTATAGCCTAGTTGTAATGGTAAATAACAAAAATTTTTTTTTTTCTGAAACAATTCGAATTTTATTTTATATTAATAATACAATCAATAAACTATATCAAACATGAATAATGTTTTTCATACGAACTATTTTCTTTTTTAAGTCAAATTCGATACGTGAAGTCTGTTGAATAATCAATTCTAACTTATATGGATGATTAAAAACAAGGAAGAAATAACAACGAAAAGAAAGAAAACAAAAAATATATCTTTAAATTTGATTTATCTTTACTAAAGTGTAATATCTTCAAAATAATTATCTTTTATCATTTTATAATTGTTACTTCTATCAATTTTAATTTCTTTTATTTTATTCTAATTCAATTAATTATTATTTTAAAATTTGTTTTTTCTTTTATAATCGATATATTCATAGGAGTAAAATATACTAATAATTCAAGAGAAAAGAAATAGTTAACAATAAAAGATTAATAATATTATTTTCAATCGTAAGTTGTTGCTTTTGTTTTTAAGGTAATTAGTTATGTTTAAAGAAAAAATAATTATTTATATTTGAAAAGATGATTGATTCAAATTTTAACAGAAATTCATAAAGATACAATCGAATTAAATTTATCATAATTCATAGTATTTCAAGTAATATAAAATATTTGATAAAAATTAATTATCTTTGGATAATTAAAATTTTTATATTAAATTATTTTTTGACGAATATTTCATATATAAAAAAAATCAAATATTCTATTATCTGATACTAAATTATTATCGTTCTTAGCCACATTTGAATGTACAAAATTAATCAGTTTTCGTGCTTTTAATTCTTCTATATATATATTTCTTAATTTTAAAATTGACTACGATCATAAAATAGAACAACAGGTCATATTAAATCTATTAAAACATCCATGTTATCAATTTTAGAATTTAAATTATTTAACCAAACTATTTTATCATAAAAAATATTAACAATAATATAAAAAAATCCATTTCTATTCGAATTTCTATTATGTGTGCATATATAAATCATTCATCAATTAATTTCGATTACATGCTTATTTAGTAAGAAATATAATCTAATAGGTTGATTGATTAATTGTTTTATATATTTAACTTATTTTTCTCATAATATAATTTTGTAAATCTTTATAAGAGTTACAAGAACTTTTTTTTTTATGACAATGAATTATTTTAATATCACATAACGCATTTATTTATTTATTTATTTTTTCTTTTAAATTATTTCATTTATTCTCTATTTCAATTTATAAAACTTTGTAATTGTATAGGATAAAACACTAATCTTATAAGTATCAATACTAAAAATTTTATACAAAAGCAAAATCTATATTAAACAGCATAAATTTACATCAAGATTAATTCTAATATGACATTTTAATAATACTAGTAAGAAATTTTAATCAGTCTTCTAGTTCGTATGAAAGACAACGATGTCTACTCACTTCTCATCAAACTCTTAACAAGTTTAATCTACAGTTTGATTTGATCTCTGTTCTGTACTAGAATAATATGTACAAATGGTGTAAAAAAAAGAAGGAGATATGTGTGACTATTAGAACCCATCGGATTCGAGTTCAGATCTGAAAAATATTGCTTATTATATCTTAATCGAAAGAAAAACTTCGATGCTTAAGAACAATATTTTATGAAATTCTTTAAATTTCTGTTAAAAAATGCCTCTTTCTTTATGTATTATTCGTTATATAAAAGTATCCAGAAAAATCTATTTACCCATACGATTGACTCTCATGCTTCAAATATTGAATTCTTCTCACTCAATTCTTACACAAAAAACCTAAATTTGATCTTTAATATAACATTTATGAGAGAAGTTTCATTCAAATAAGAAAATTTTGTTTTCCATAGATTGAATGCTCATTTTTGTTGCTTTATGTTGTCAATTAGAAATGATAAATTCTTCTCTGTCAATATTAGAAAGGGATTTCATGAAAGTATTTTCATACATAAATCCACAATACGAATTAATTATTTTGATAAGAATACCCTAGTCGACTCTTCCCAACAAAATCTCCGGGGGTTCCACACAAAAACTCCACGCGAGAATCACGACAATGATTCACCAGGGATTGTAAAGGGAGTAGATTCTCAATAAAAAATACAGTACATTAAACTTATAAGTGATATTATCACTGAGAGATCCACCTACCTATCTGTCATGCATCATATGCTACTTTTTAAAGGAAAATTGCAGTGATAATATCACGGGAAATATGTCATGGACTCAATTTTCCTGCACTTTGTGGAAAAAATGCTACAGAAAATAACTCTCTGGTGAGCTTTTTTCTTTTGGGATTCACAAGGGTGTTCGTATTTTTCAAGATACTCATCGGTGATTTCGCGAATGAGACTTGACTAGGGCATGAATACTTTCTCTGTATGATTTTTAAATGTCATTAGAAATCTGAATTCTTTTAGGATTTTCATTAGAACAATTTTTTATATTCATAGACAAAAAAAAATAAAGTTTTAACTTTTCTTAAAGTATCGTGAATGATTAAATCGATTGAAATTTAACATATAATTGAATTTTCAAGATTTTCATTATGAATTGTAATAAATAACATTTCAAATAGTTTTATAAATAAGATAAAATTAAAAATATTTTTTTACTAAATATATAATACTTGATTAAGAAAAGAAATTATACAGAAAAAATAGAACAATAAAAATCTAAAGGATCCTTTCGATTTTATAAGAAGCTTGCGCATAGCATCAGCAATGAATTGATGTACACGAGTAGTAAAATGAAGTTGATCAATAAAAATATAAGTATCAGGAGTCGAACATAATGGAATAACAGTATAATGTGATGTATACTAACATTTATTCATACTACTTATTCCATATGCTTTGATATTCATAAGAATATTTGAAATAAGTGAATAAAGATCAAAGATTTCAAATGATATTTTCGAATGTTTTGCTTGAAGTAGTCGAACTGAATTTAATAAATTATTATTATGATCAAGTGTAAGTTTCTTTAATAGATCAGGTACATAAAAAACAGCTAAAGCTGAATATGCTTCAAATGGCAGTAGATTAATAATAAGAATATGTTTAGCACCTATTTTAATTAAATCATTTATTCCATTGATTATACTTTGAACAACGATTGATGGAGCAAAAGCTAAAGCTAAATTAAAGTAATAATCATTTTGACCAATCCAAATAACATAAAGTGTTCGATGATAATTTATCTTCCTTGAATGAGTAGTATTTTTGTACATAGTTATTTGTTGACGAACACCTGGTATCGTTCAATTATATATTGTAGAACCTCGTACTAAGTTATTATCAGTAGTTGCACTTCCATATGCATAATCAATAATATTCGATATTCCTAATTTGTCTATTCAAATTTTTCCATTAGAATATCGACCTTTTTTAAAAAGGTGGATCAATAGGCCATTTTGAATTTGATAATTTATAAACATTGCCAATATCAGCATTTGAATCACCAAAACAAACTATTGTATTAAATTGTATGTTTTTGCATTGTATTTTATGAACATTAAATATTAAGATAAGCAAAAATAATACATTTCACAGTCGATCACCATACATTTTTTTTTATCTTATCGAATAAAATATTCTTTATTTCATCTTTTATTTATAATAAATCGTAAATAAGTAATGAGTAATATTGATGATAATGCAAAACAAATAAATGCATTTATATTCAAATTTCAATTGCGTACGCACATATTATGTACGAAATATACACAAATCAATCAAATATCTATCGTTTATAATCAAATGCCTATTGAAAAATATATCGGTTAAACTTAAAATCAAAGTATAAGTTGAACAAAATATTTACAATAAAATATTATTAGGCATAAATATTATAAGTAAGCCTAAAGAGAAATTATGTATGTAATGATGAGTCAAGTGGATTATTTTATATATAAAAACAACGTAGAGCAGCAGCTAATATAAAATAATAGTATCATTCATAGAGAGAACCACTCATATCAATTTAAATACCAATAAAAAAATTTGATAATCAATGTTCTTTATATGATATACATATAATATGTATTGTATAATATCCAAATAGGATGAGACTATCCTTAATGAAACAATTTTGAAATATTTCATCTCATCTGGAATGAAATAGAACGAAAACTTTTCCACCTCCTCTCATCCATCATATGTGACTTCATATCCATCGAATATCTTACAAAAACAGATATATATATGTCAAATTTGAAACTTGAATTCAATTGAATTTGACATGAGTGCCTATTCGAATTTTAAATTATAAGGAAAAGAACTGTTTTCTATATTTTTCTATGTTCACAAGAGTGTCTGTGAGAGAAAATTTTTATTTTGCTTTTTGAATATTAAGAAATGAAAATTAGATTTATTTACCATTACAAAAATGAAATTAGATATTCGATCTTTTTCTTGTTTGCCATAATTGTTCTTCAAAGCAGAAATATTCATTCAATAGAATAAATTATTTCATTGTATCAAGCTTTTGAGAAAATCATACCTTGAAACAGACATACCGACAGAATTCTAACAGTTTTTTTTGGATAGGCTGGATAAATTTATGAGTAGCAATTACTTAGTCTAGTGATTTAATTGATACCATCTGTTATTTCTTTATTTCTATCGTAGTTCTCACAATAAATCAACAGAAAAATTCTAGTTTTCTTTTTTTTTCTACATGAAATTGTTTTCAGTAATTCTCATACATTTTGAAAGATGCCTAATGTTGAATCTTATACAGAAAATATAATATCATTCATAACATATGAGATAGTTGATACTCAACTTGATTTCTCAGACATTGGGAACGAAACATATCATACTGATACAATTGAACAACTATTCAAAACAATTATTCTTTCAGCATAATCTCTACGAGTTTTACTCAAATATTCTTTTGTGTATGAGAAGCATTCATCTTTATAAATCGATAGGTTTAACTGATCTATTCTTAATTTAATTAGATTTAATCTTAAACTCAACAGAGAATAAACAATTCTCTCGTTTTAGCATTTGCATTCAGTCATAATATTCCATTGTTAATCAATATCAAGTCTTCTTCAAGCATATCTCTTATATCTACACTGATGACATTTAAATCACAAAGAAGACTTGCTCTAGCTCTACTCCAAATAGCACCGAACAACATTCATCAATTTAGTATATTTGTATATCAAATATCAGATGTCACTCAAAAAAGTAAGCATGTCTTAACCAGAATTACTCGTCAAGTTCAACTCTTTCTGTTTCTCTCTGATAATGGATACCAAGATCTAGCACTTGAACACATATCATCTATTATCTATCCATCGAATAGTTACACATGTATTTAAGTATGAGCATAAATGTTGATGTATGGGTCTGAATGCGATTGGTGATGTTTTCGTTATTCATTAATTTTATCTACACCCATACAAACAATCACATTTTAAAATTTTATTTATAATATGTGATATAGTGTTTCTGATTAGCTGAGAATTATATAAATCTTAGATAAAATACTTAATCTATAGATGTAGAAAGTTACTGCTTTTTTTCCTATTGATGAATGTCAGATAATCAAAAGTTATTTTACCATCTAGTAAGACATTTGCTTAGTAAATAAGAAAATAATTTCAAAATTATGATTAAAACAAAAATTTCAGACATATTTGGTCGAAATATGTCTACGTAATTACATTTTAGAAAGTGAAGAATTAGAATATCTCTTCCAATCTTTCTAATAAAATCTATCATACCCTTAACTTTTCCTCACCACTCGGGATACCTTCGGACAGAGAAATTTACAAGAATATCTGCAATGAGAGCTTATCTATTTTTCTAGCTACCCATAAGTAATTCTCAGTTATTGGACGAGTGATACTCGCTTACAAACTTCATTTTTATCGGTGTTGGGTAACAGACAAGTTATTAATCACTTTTTCCGAGTCATCTTTCAAAAGAAAAAGTAATTTATAACTTCATTAAATGATTTAATGACGCTATTCGTTCAGATGGAGGCTTTTATTCGACTGTTTTGTTAAGTTCATTGGAAAATAATTGGTACCTTTTCTTTCACCAGTTAACAGGTAACATATTTGAATTGTAAAAAAGATCCTATTCTTCAATCTAGCGGAAAATAAAAGAAATTAGGTATTGTATAAAAATATACCATTAACATTTGATGTATTTGTCGATACAGTTATTATTTAATGGATTCGTAAATGTTCTATTTGAGAACATATGTGGCAATGGGATGGAAAGAAAATAATATATTCGTTAGATTATGAAAACTTCCAAAACAAGTTTTGTATGAAAAATTATATTTAAGGATATGCCCTATGATTTGTATCATATCCAGCATCTATATTATGCAGTTCATTTTAAAAAGCTCTCGCATTAGATAATATATATTACATTAGAATTAAGAAGAAGTTCAATGTTGAAACTTTTCTAGAACGAAATGTATTTGTGTACAGGAGAATATTGTCTCCCATTTTTTTTATGAGATTAAAACATGTATCATTGATAAAAATTTTATCATTCTATAGATTTTCTTCAGTCTTATTGATTGATATAAAATTTATTGTAAGAATTAGTACTTATCCCAATGTTAAGATCTTTATCATTGATTAAAAAAGACTATGAAATTTTTAATTTATAATTCATTGTTCAATTATCATATGTGATGAAACATAAATTTCATAATATAGCAGTGCATGTAGATTATTTTTTCAAATAGACTAGTTATGGTGTATATAGAACAAAAAATCTAAACTAATTAAATAGATAAGTTTTTGTTTTCAATTTTCACAAAGTAAAATAAATTTAAACAGTATCATATTTATCCTAAAAATATTATTTGTTGCTACTGTTAAATGAATGATATAATAATTATTAATTCAATCAGTTTATTTAACAATCTTTGATGAAATCAAATACAGATATCTTCAGTAGATTAAAACTAGACTTTAATTCAATCTTCATTTCCAACATAGATGATGCATAAAATTCTAATATATTTCTTAAATACATCTCTTTTTACTCTTTAAATAAAACAAAATTTATTAAAAATCAAAACTTTTGTTTCTTTTTAACATCAACAACTTATTAATGAATATGGGATATAATTAAATAATAAAGAATATTTTTCAAATGAATTTTGATCTTTATACTCTTACAGGATCATTTTCAAAACTGTTTGTATATTTTATTCATCAGTGCGAATACTAACCGGGCAGTTGATAAATTTAAGAACTATAAGTCATTACAAACAAGCAGATCTTAAGTTGCATTATTCTCTTGAATGTAGTAGTAAATATGATATTTTTTCCTGATGAAGAATGCCATAGTTTTTCAACATAGAAATTATGATGAAATACTAGAGTAGTGCTTTTCTTTCTCGCCTCTAGATTTGAATTTTGAATACAACTGATCCAAAAATTAATAACAGATCAATAACTTGAAATGTTGAGCATAGTGAAAAGTCTGATTAGAAATTCAAAAGCATTAAAAGATATTGACTTAATCCTGTTTGTAGAAAGTTCACATACTACAATGAGAGTTATAAATGTTTTATCGATTTTTCGTATGAAGTATGTTAAGTTTTGAACGCTCTTTTCAAATATATTCTGAAATTTTGACGAAATCAAAGAAGATAAGTCTAAAATTGAGTACTACGTAATCGATGTTGATAAAAAAGAAAAACCCTAAAAGTAAAAATTGTAAGTTAATTTCTGAAGTTATGTTCGATATTAATTGACATTGGATTGCAGTATTGGATAAAGTAAATAAAGTTAGTTTTAAGTGTCATGCAAACTCGATAAACAATGACATTTTTCATTAAGAAAATTTTTTATCTTTAATACTATCTTTTAAGAATTGATTTATTCATAATCAAATATGAATGAAGCAAATTATACACTAACACGTAAAATATGTTTCATCACAAGTAAATATCGTAGAATAAATCATAAATAAAATATTAGATGCCAATCTTATTTAATTACTTAAGCCAGTTCAAAAGTATAGTAGCAGGAGTATCCTAATTCCTTCCTTATAGAAATTTCTGAGACTTTTTTCTATAGAGTCTGATAGAAAAAAGAATACTCAAGCTTTCTATGCTATTTGATCATACTTTAACTAATATGATAATAATAAACTTTCGATAAAGTCTATTTTGCTTGAAAATATGCTGATTGTATAAATGCTCATTGCAATAAAGTTAAGGAGAATATTTTTTTGAATCACTTTTGATTGTAAGAAAATAGAGAGCTGCGCCTTTCACAGTTGGAAAGAGGAGATTAAGATTCATGTAGCCCTATATTACACGAGTTTTCAATATGAATTGTCGAGTTGTGTTAATCAATTTTCAACCATCAGAAAAATAATTTCTCATTAGAAGGAATGGGTTAAGGGTGAACCCACACCCGCAAGATAGTTGCAATTAAAAATGCGAAAAAAATTTATAGAAGACTACGAAAACTTATCAAAGCAACAGTCAATATTGATAATTAAAAGTAAATAATGTGTTCTTCTCAAATTATGTTATTCCAGATTATGCTTTTTTAATTTTACTTTCAAAGAAAAAACTTCTACTATTTTTCTAGAACCTTTTAATGTGCAACTGTTGTATTTTGAATATAATGCTCATGTATTACTAATTAGCTATAAACTTTACTTTAAGTTTCTAAATGAACAATTACAATACTAAAACAAATTTTCGCATTTTTTGACATAAATAGTTCTATAACATAGAGAAAAAAAAATAACAGAAAATATCTGCTTAATCTGTGAACAAACCAAATATCGTTTTTCACGAATTCACTTCAATATACTTTATAATACCAATCTTTGATATAACACACTAAGTCATATAAAAATATTAAGAACAATGATAAATAATCTTAAAAAGAAAATATAACATACTTGAAAAAAAGCATAAGTCAATAAGAGGAGAGAACTTGATTGTTAAGTATATCATAAGTGTTTTACTCTGTTTGACTATTCTACATCGAATAGTAATGCTATGAAATTTGTTTTAATATTGTAATTATTCATTGAGAAACTTAAAGTAGAGTTTATAGTTAATTAGTAATACATGAGCATTATATTCAAAATGCAACAGTTGTACATTAAAAGATTCTGGGAAAATAGTAGAAATTTTTTCTTAGAAAATAAAATTAAAAATACATAATCTGGAATAATATAATTTGAGAATAACATATTATATACTTTTAATTGTCAATACTGACCGTTGCTTTGATTGGCTTTTATAGTCTTCAATAAATTTTTTCGCATTGTTACTTGCAACTATCTTGAGGGTATAGGTTTATCCTTAACCCACACCCTCTAATGAGAAATTATTTTTCTAAAG